GAGCATATGTCTATAGGACTTTTTTTCTTAGTTTTTTACTCCTCTACACGCTCCCGAAGTTTTGCCATTTAATTTGGAAACACCCTGTATTAAATAATTTTTAAAAGAAAAGGAATGAATCGTAAGAAGGTAATAAAAGTAAATTTAGAGAAGTCGATGTTAAACAGGTTATTTTTCAATCCTGGAATTGTATACATTAATTTAGTGATTATTAAAATCGTAGACAGTGTATTAAAATACACTGAGAGAAATGAGTTTGTTATTAAAACAAAAAGTGATAACAAATGTGTTGATTTGGCAGGAAAACGAATCGATCAGTTATTATTGCAAATCATTTCTCGTTATTCGTCAATGTAACAAATAATACATGATTTATATGAGACAAATCACGTTTGTTAAATTGTTATTTGTACTTTTTGTAAATAATCAGTTTTGTAAATAACCAATGGCTGGCAAATAAAAATCTATCCAGCATATACATGATTGCTTCTGTTACTAATAATTGATTCGAATAGCAGACTAGCATCAGTCTCCATGACAGAAGAATCTTGTATTCCCAACAATAAAACAATTTTTAACGAGCTCTCAATGTTCAACAATAATTAAAATAAATCCGGGCTAATTAGAGCTAAACACTGTAATTTGTATCTATTTTACAATTTTATTCATAGTATCATATACAATATATTATTCGACGTTTCGGCTGTTCTGTACAGCCATCTTCAAGATATTCAAATTTAATCCATTAGTTCTCAAATAAATGTACGTGCTTTTTCTAAAAACCTTAAGTGGTTCCTCATTGCATTGTGAGCACACCTCTTCTTAATCAATATCTTAATTGTTAAGAATTAAATGAGAAATTATCAATGTCTTAATTGGTAAGTCCTCAATGAGAATTTATATTTTAAATATACTATTATTAGTCAACTCACCAGTTTTTTGAAAATACACTTTATTTTATTACAAAATTTCACAGCTATTGTAACATATGTAATTTTGACTCCGATGTGGACACATGTCTAACGATTATCCGTTAATTATATAATCTTTTGCTGTGAAATTTTGTAATAAAATGAGGTGTATTTTCAAAAAACTGGTGAGTTGACTAATATATAATAATATATTTAAAATATAAATTCTCATTGAGGACTTACCAATTAAGACATAATTTCTCATTTAGTTCTTAACAATTAAGACATTGATTAAGAAGAGGTGTGCTCACGATGCAATGAGGAACCACTTAAGGTTTTTAGAAAAAGCACGTACATTTATTTGAGAACTAATGGATTAAATTTGAATATCTTGAAGATTAAAATATAAATTCTCATTGAGGACTTACCAATTAAGACATAATTTCTCATTTGGTTCTTAACAATTAAGACATTGATTAAGAAGAGGTGTGCTCACGATGCAATGAGGAACCACTTAAGGTTTTTAGAAAAAGCACGTACATTTGAGAATTAATGGATTAAATTTGAATATCTTGAAGATGGCTGTAAAGAACAGCCGAAACGTCGATTAATATATTGTACTATATATGATACTATGAATAAAATTGTATAATAGACACAAATTACAGCGGTGTTTAGCTCCAATTAGGCCGGTTTTTATTTTAATTAATCTTGTATTCGTTTTCCGACATTTGTTATCACTATATCTACAAATCATTTGTTGTAGATAGAGGTAGCGTGTTAAATTAACAAAATCTTTTTTCTCAGTGTAATATAATTGATTACTCACTTGTAACTCATTAATGGCTACCCATGAATTACTGGGAAATCCTTGAAGCATAGGGACCAGGAATTGCAGGCAGCCACTCCAATGGCCGATCAGGAGCATCATACAGATCAGGTTAAAAATCCGCATGAACACCGACGCCATATTCAGGAACTGCCAACAACAATGTTAAGAGTTTTATTCTCGTGCCGAATCGGGCGCGTCGGAATGTTTCTCACATGTTTTTGTTAAAACTTCTCTTGTTTATCCAAAGCTCCGATTGCGTAGTGTACAGCAAGTAAGCGAGTGTTGCACAAAAACGCGGTAGATATATAATTCATCGAATACAATTGGTTCTATTACTGTTTTTTTGCTCAGATTTAGGAATAATGAGTAAACTACGTGACGGAATCCGTCACTAAGATCCGATCGTTTATTGATAATTATTCAACGAATATTTTGTTACAGAAAATTCTACAGAAAATGAAGCTATTTTTATTCTTCTATCAATCATTCATGCGCTTATGAGAAACAGCAAATTTTTAGATAAAATCGTGTTCAAAATAGGAATTCAAGACTTTTTGCGAAATTTCAAATTATTTTTAAACTAGTTTCTTGCTGCTTAACGGAATAATTGATTAAAAAATCTTTACTGTAGACAAAATGGATAAATATGAATCAATGTTCAAATTCAGATCTTAGCGCGGATATATACAGTGTCTTAAAATTCGCGAGTCGAAATGCTAAGCAAGAAAGTTCTCAAAGAAATAAGTTGCAACTGTTATCAGTATTTATTACTGCCTTCCGAGCGGTAGTTTTTAAGACATTAAGGTTAAAAACTGGCCAATTATAGATTATAGTTAAACGGTCTGTTTATGAGTCATTGGTCGATAATATTAGTAATTGCGCACGTTATGCATAAAGATAATAAACAAAGATTATGTGCGTAACATTCATATGTGTTACGTATAGGGTTTGTTGCGAATTAGTTGATGCTGTTAACAAACAAATGTAACGAATAATATAAATTGATAATTTATTGGAGTTATATCACTACTAGGTACGTTACTAATTTGTGCATCATATCAATAGAAGATATGAATAAGATATGAATAATTGCAATCAAGTGACATACATATGATGTCATTATTTTATTACAATAATTCTAATCTTTTTTATTTTATGTATCCTCTGATTCTTTTTAGTCTTTAATTAAACCGAAAATTTCATTAAAAATTTTTAAAAATTATTTTATGTTAACATATCAATGTTATTGCGCGTGCGTAAACAGTTTTTTTATTTAAACAATTAAATATTCTGGATGGTCGATTATTTATCGATTATTTATTTGTCTTTATTAACTATACGACATCTTGTATTACATTGATTTTCATTTGCATTACTTCTTATTTTTGTAAATTGTCGATCAATAAAAATAATTAATTGTTTGATAATCACTATAATAACAACTACAGTGATACTCAAAACGTTCTACATTTAGTTTAACAAAAAAATTGTTTATATTTTTAAAATTTTTGATTGTATTTGCTTGATTACTAACTCCTAAAAATTCTACAAATAAGTATTTTATTAATAGATTTAAATATATTCACTCATACAGGGCCAAAAGTCTGGATACACCCAAATATCTCATAAACGATACATTTTAGAAAAAAATGTTTCAAACAAAAGTTGTAAAGCTTAAAAAGACGTATTTAACGATAGTAGTTATTTGACCTAGAATGGCGTTGTCAAGGTCACGTCAAGGTCAACTTAATTTTATTAAATGGAGCCCTCTACTTTTTATTTCAGATTCTTGTAGGTCATGTTGAGACGTTTTCAAAACACATCATAAACTCTTTTCCGATGAGAACTTCCTGAGTTATGAATCTTTAAAGTTTAAATACCGCCGGCATTAGAATTATCCAAGATGTACCGCGTGGAGGTTGCTCGGTCGGATTTACATCTCTTGTGTGCGTGAGTGCACACAAGAGATGTAAATCCGACCGAGCAACCTCCACGCGGTACATCTTGGATAATTCTAATGCCGGCGGTATTTAAACTTTAAAGATTCATAACTCAGGAAGTTCTCATCGGAAAAGAGTTTATGATATGTGTTTTGAAAACGTCTCAACATGACCTACAAGAATCTGAAATAAAAAGTAGGGGGCTCCATTTAATAAAATTAAGTTGACCTTGACGTGACCTTGACAACGCCATTCTAGGTCAAATAACTACTATCGTTAAATACGTCTTTTTAAGCTTTACAACTTTTGTTTGAAACATTTTTTTCTAAAATGTATCGTTTATGAGATATTTGGGTGTATCCAGACTTTTGACCCACCCTGTATAACAAAAAATATGTATGTAAAAACAATAAATATAAGAAGAAAAAATTTATTATTACTCATGTCAAGAACATTAGTGAAAAAATTACGATATTTTTAAATTAAATATTCTCCTACGTATGCAATTTTATATATCTACGATATTTTTTTAAGCCCTCATTGTTTTGAAGTTTTTGTATGACTAATCTTGTGCTTTGCATCACAAATAGAGTAAACTTCAATGTTTTTTTAACTTGTCGTAATGGTCAACAAATTATAGAAATATCAACTTTGAAAAAAAACTGGATATATCCAGAGACGTGGAAAAAAGTTAAATTTTTAGTTCATAATTGAGCGAAGTTTAATCAGTTAATTCAAAATCATTGAAATGTAATGACAAACGAAATTATTTCACTTAAAAATTTTCATAGTCATAAATTAGTATGCACTGAGATATGCACGTAAGTAAATGGTAAGTAGTGAGTAATAATATTACGTAAATAATAACAGGTAGTTGTAATCAGTATACTTTTGAGAGAAAAAAATAAAGTAGTAAATAATAAGAAAGAAATAAAATGAATTTTTTTATTTAATTGAAGACGCAACAAACGGTATTATATGGACGTTACGCACACAATTTTTTGTCTGTGAGTGAAATGCGCGATCATTAACACTGATGATGTGCGATTTACGGACACATGGCCGTAAGTAGCTAAATCTATAATTTAAACTTTTATATCTCAAAAATCGTCTTGCTATAGTATTTTAATTCATGAATTTCGGAATACACTGTATAGTTCAAGTGAGAGTGTCACACTTTTCCTATGTTGTCATCGTCATTTTCATACTTTTGAGATTCTTTCTTTTTTCATCCGTTAAGAAAAGCATGCTACATTAGAAAATACGCATCACGTGGCACACAAAAGAACAATTCAATGTAACCTAAAACGTTGATAAATAACTGGTTATTCTACGAATGCTCTAACAAAAAATATCAATCATTTGCAACTGATTGGGCCAAGATTCTCAAACCGCTTATGCGCCAATGTAATGATAACATGACGTACATAAAAAGGAAAAAAAAGAGCCAGAATCAACGCTCCGTGACGTCGATGTAGTCCATTCGGTTCCGTGAATTACAAATTATTCGGCTCCAACGTGCGCAATAAGTACGATATGGGAATCCGTCCATAAAATAAAAAGCTGGAGAACACGCGGAGAACGCACCGACATGGCTAATTTGCCGAGTTAACCCTTCGAGATTCCGATCTATATCTTATTTTGATGATTATCTTTCACGTGAAGAACTGCATCTTGATCGTCTTCTCGATAATTAATACACACAATTAAGTAACTTGTTTTTTCTTTTCCTGGTAATTGTGCGTTGAAGTGGAATATTAACAGATATATGTATATAGTCCTGGGGATGCTGGAGTGACCAAATTATCGATATTACAAATTACGTTAACTGAACGGATTAAAAAATCCTTTTACAGGATTAAAGTAAACGCAAAATTAAAAGGTTGTGCAGTGGACTTTATACTAAAATCGAAAAAAAGTTAAGTAAGTTTTTAATCTGTTTGATTTTAGTATAAAGTCCACTGCATCATCTTCTAATTTTGCGTTTACTTTAATCCTGTAAAAGGATTTTTGATTCCGTTCAGTTAATTCGGAGATATTTATACGACTGTAATATCGATAATTTTGTCACTCCAGCATCCCCTTAACAAGTGGCTATTTTTAATAAAGTTATAAAATGACAATAAGTCTCTGACTTCGGATATATTTTGTCATTTATTTTTATTAATTTAAACAATAAGAATCTTATTTTTAGATCGTACCATGTGAGAAATATAATTAATAATAGAAATTGCTTATACCGGTCGAAGCTAGATCTTTTAATGCTTTAAATAATTCAATGTGAATTATATATATATATATATATACTATATATGTACTTGCATATATAATTTTTTTGTAGTCCTTCAAACTGCGCGCCGAATTGGTTTTCCGGATTTATAAACGCAATTAAACTACTGGAATAATATCACGAATTAAATTAAATTGAACAAGCAATTCTTAAATAATTTTGATGCACAATCAGGCATCATATTAGCAAGATGTTAATGTGCTGAAAAACTGTAAATAAATTTATTGCGAAAAATATTTCTCCCTCGGCCGGGAGTCGAACCCGGATCTCTTACATTCCGTGTGAAGTTCCATTTCCATTTGCGTTCATAAGTCCGGAAAACCAATTTAGTGCGCAGTTTGAAGGATTACAAATATGTTATATATGCAAGTACATATATAGTATATATATAATTCACATTGAATTATTTAAAAGCGTTAAAGATCTAGCCTCGACCGGTATAGGCTTTTAAATTTCTATTGTTAATTTATTTTTATATATATACGAATTTTTATAAGAGATTTTTACACATAAATAGAAATTTATTTAGAAGTTAATTTGATTTTATTTGTTCTAAGCATCGGCAAAAAGCGATTGATAAATACTCGAAGGGTCGGAGTCGGATAGTCTCAGCGTCCTCCTATCAATCGAGAGATAAGGATAGAGTTATCTAAGGATCATTGAAGGTATCATGAAGTGCGACTCATGTTCATGTATGTACATAACGTATGTACATATGTGGCAATGACATATATATATATATATCTGCTTCCGCACTCGTATGCGTGCGGTACTCGCAACGAAACGCGACACGCGCGCTGCAATAATGACTGTGTCATGCACCGTATTTGGTCTCTGGTGTTTGAGAGATTCCGTTCGGATACCCTGTCGGTGGCGCAAATGAATTTCCGATACAGAATATTGTGCCGTCGACGGGGCATGTGCGAAGATTCTCTCGAACCCGTTATGCGGCGACAAACTGAAGTTTCCGAACTTAAACGCGCTTGCCCAAACACCCGCAAGTAGTTCAAATTTTCTCTTTTTATCGCTCACCATATCTATCATACTCGATACACTTTCGTGCTCTTATAACTTACGGAAGTTTGATACTCTCGCAAAAAAAATTCTTGCAGGACTCATCTCAGAATGAAAAATTTGTGTCGGTTAATTTATTAATAAATCTAAGCGACAGCAAAGCGAGGAGTAGGTGGAGCTGTTTCCGAGGTTCTTGTCGAGTCTTGGGCAATCGCGGTATAATGATCTTGAAATCGTACGGCAGTGGGACCTGTCCCCCTGTATAACAGTTAGGTAATTATTCTTGCACTTAAACCGCAGAAATGATAGAGCCATTGCAGTACCGACAGTAATGACATAATGACGTATAATAAGCTCAAACAGATGTGTTATCTTGTTGAAGATAACTTAGTTCCATGCATTTTGGAAAAATTCCGTACAATCTCTCTTAATTTTATCATGATAAAATTATACAGCAATAAATGCTTATGAAGCTTATAAACGAAAAATGTAATCCAAGTTACATTTATAATAATGTTATTTCTTAACGATTAGGCTATATTAAATTAAAATAATCAGAATTTTTTTTATATCAATAACATAATATTCATAAGAGAAATTTAGTTAATTCATCAAGTTGGCTTGTATAGCTTTATCACTTGTGCGATTACGCCGGAAACCTAGTCATAAAAGAGTCGCATTTATAGTTAGACATGGCCATTAACAGATGCAACAATGTAAAAGGCGACGAGAGATGCATCGATGCCCAATCGCCGTAGGATTTCGATGAAGGGCAGAGATCTGGTTATCTAAATGCGGTAAAATATATTAGGAATATTGGCTAGTATCTATCGGGTGTTATGATACTCCATGGATGATGATCAATGGTAACTGTTTCTGCGCCTACGGGAAACAAGTAAGAAAACATAGGAAACTTACGGGCTAGACCACATATAGCTCAATACATTACCTGGTAAAAGATCTACAAGTAAAAGATCGTGTACACGTGGAGTACACAGTACACACGCGCACGCATACATATATCGTCGATGTCTAATGAGGGATGCGACGTATATGTACGTGCGTGGCGTAGTTTCATAAATTAACAAGAATAAAAAGAAAAGAAAGAAGAAAGAAGGAAACACAAGGTAAATGATACACTGTAACTCAACATCAACCTTTTCTTCTACGAGACAGTCACAGGTCTAGTAAAGATGAAAGCTTGATTTTGTTATGTCTCCACGATATGATTAATGAACAATCAACGATCAATGAGTCAGCGCACTAATTAACGAATGGCGATTGTAAGTGGCAACAACAAACGCTCTAAAACGACACCGGAACAAAAGTGAATACTGCAAATTAAAGGCACAACAGAGAACAACCGAGACGAGATACGGGGTTTACGGAAGATAGATGTTTGTCGTGAGGGTGAGAGATTTCCTCGCACTTCGGCCGAGACGAATTTGAGTGATCATGAGCGTAATGAGGGACGAACAAAACGCAGCTGCCAAACGTTACGTTAAGTCTCGCGCAAGCCAAGCCACACGAAGCGAGAAAGCGAAGTGTCTTCGCTCTTCTGTCATGTCTTCGTTTTTCTTTTTTTTTCTGAATTTGCAAGCACATCGATAGCCAGCGATATTACACAGATAGAAGTGCACTTTCTCGGCCGAGAAGCAGCGATAGAGAGCGAGGAATGGACAGCGACAAGAGCGGATAGCGGTGGATAAGACGCGCGGCGAGGGTGGTTATAAGGTGAAAATCGTTTGCAGAGCAGCGGTAAGGGAAGATAAGCGAGCTCTACTTTCATATGCATTGCACCCTAATTATTATTCCGTTAGCGCTCGCACGTGTCTGTATCCATTTTCCTCCTGCATCTTTATGTCTAAGGTAGCGATGCACACCTCGGGTACGTGGTTGATATATAGTGTGCAATTTGCAACAAAGCGACAGAGAAGGGACGCCCAATTACGTGCGCTCGTTTTCATAGGATCGTGCACACCGTCTAGCGATCAAAAGCGTTTCACAAAATAGTGCGTGGAAACACAGGCGGTTTGCGGTCGTCCATCGGGTCACTGGACGTGGAAGAATCGGAGGGAAAAGGGAGGGTATATATATAAGACGGAAGGATCAAGGAGACGTAGATGATACAACAAACAGTCAAGTAGTAAACGAGAGGAAGTTAGAATGAGAAGACAGACAGAGAGAGAAAGATACAAATATATGTATATATATAAAGAGACGGAGAGAGGAAGGGTTTAATACGAATATACGATTGTTTTGAGTCGGACGCGCCACGCCGGATTTTTGACAACCGATCCCCGTTCGTTCACTTTCACGTCGAATATCGCGCTGTCGATCGGCGATCATCGGAAATTGGGGCCTCTACATCCGCGAGGTGCTGACGCAAAGGTGGCTCGTAATTAACCGAGCATGGCGTTTTTTTTTTTTGTTATATCTATGTTCGTGGGCCTCTAGATTACCATATCACACACATAGTTATGTACATGTACTTTCTCATCGCTAGGCGGGTGCCGATGGTGATTGTATAGAAGCATAGCCTATTGCTGCGGGTATATGTAATGTATAATGCGGCGGAAAAAAGTAAAAGCTGAATGTTTGTAATAAACCAACGAGCCAATCAGCGTACAGCTCCTCCGTCCAATTAACCTCGTTAGCCCCACTCCCGGTCCTCGCGAGATATCGACAGAACGGCAGTCGATCGATTAAATCAACAATCCGATTCCCGCGTGATGCTACAAATTATTCGAAAATCTATTCTCGACAAGGAAAGAAACGATCGATTTAATTCACTGGTCAAAAATATACATATTAGATCAGTTTTGAGTAAAAAATTGTGGGATCTACAATTTCTGAAATATTTTATTAATATTTTCAGTCATTCTTTATATAAAGTAATATTATATTTTTATTTATAGAATGTTTTTTTTAAGAAATTGTAACGTGAATTCTGTATTATCATGGAGATCTCATTCAAAAATTGTGTTAATTAAATATTGGCGGTAAAGAGAGGGTCGAGAGAGTCGACTTGTTTCTATCGAGTCTCGCGGAAAACCGGATGGGAAATCGTCGAGGCTGATTCGTGGTGCGAATCACGTGGACGTGAGCTCGCGCGTTCGCCAGGGCGGGTTACCTTAAAAATAAGTTCGCTTTTGCTGAAACCGGACTTCTTTTTAGTCATATTGTCAGAACTTAGGCGCCCCCTCCGCTCAGTGCGTTTTTTTTGTAGGTTCTGCAATATCTAGAAACAAAAGAAAGCGGGACATAGCCAGACGTAGTAAGAAGAGGTTAATAGAAATTCTGTAGAGTAAAGAGTGTAAGAAAGAATAGGAAACAGATATAGAAAGAAACAGAGTTAAAAGTAACAGTAAGGAGGACGGGACAGAAAACGTCGGTATAGTTAGGTGGTTTTACATATGTATTAATTGACAAAGAGAGTTTGCAAGATGGTATGGTGGTACAGTAGCGAAAAGTAAGACGGAAGTATAGGAGAGGAAGTAGTATATGTCGGGCGGTTGCAGGATCGATTTTCTTTTTCTCGTCTCTCGTGAGAAATTTCCGTGTGCGGTACTGTAGCCACACATTACACAACGAACGCTGAAAGGCAATCCCATCCCTAAAGTTTCGTCCTTTCACTATAATATGAAGCATACTCGGATCGCGAAATCCGCCAACAGATGCGCAAAAGTAGTAATCGACGTCACTGTAGACATTTTTAACGGTGACACCCATTGAATCAGGCCGTACGTACAATTATGTGTGAATCACGTTAGTTTATCTATTTAACGACGAAATAAATTAAGAAAAAAGTAGAAAAAGATGATATATAATATTTACATAGATATAAGGTGTTAGTACCTCTCATTTTCCATCCTCCCTCCTGAACGCTAGTACTGGCACATACACAAGCACATAAACAGAGTAAATAATTACACCAGGTGTCAGTATATCGGTGTTGGTGCGAATTCTCGCTTCGCCGGCGAGTGTTGACCGCCGTAATTTGAGTATCAAACGATCGATCGATCGATCGTATGGGTGATGAGAGATCGATTAAAGTGTGAGTTGCGGGGCGTAAATATAAAAGAACGATTTTCGGTGATGTGAGCGACTGTGTGCACGCAAAAGTATAATCGGCAAGGACACGGCACGATAACGAAGAATAACAGTCCGATAATCCGTGAATTAGATAATTAGTAATCAACAAGCCATTCGAATATCAAAGCTATCGAATTAGCAGTCGCGCGCCAAGCGTGAAGCCGCAATTCCTTTTCAAGCTCGGATGAAGCTCGATGAATTAATTAGCGGTTCTGTATATATGTGGTATCGTGGTGGATTTACAGATTGAGTAAAAAACCGCGCGATTAACTTGCAAAGCCGTGTAACTTGATCCTGGGCGTGTCTGTAGAGCTATTGAAGTAATTCAGCACGCGAACGTAATTGACCTCGCGACACTGTCGATATTATCTTTCATGCAAATTCTACGGCATTGTCTCGATTTAAACCAGCCACCAAAATTTAATTATAATGTACGCCGAAGAGAATTTGATAGTTTTCCACATGGGAGAGGCTGCTCATTTCGTCTTGAACAAACACTTTACTAATTTAGTAATTTAATCGAAAAGGATATTAATTGAAGAAAGGCTAAAAAAAGAAGAAAAGTGCACATTAATTTACGCTTGAAGAAACAAAAATTATTTTAAGTGTTGGTGATACATAATAAACATTGTCTCGACTTATGAAATTCATATTGATGAAAGAGAGAGAAAGAGAGAGAGAGAGAGAAGAGAAAGAGAGAGAAAGAGAAAGAGAGAGAGAAAAATCTGCAAATGTGATAACTGTGGAATATAAAAATTCTGCTCTTCCCGGGGCAATGTGCGCGCATCGCTGCTCTGCTGAAAGAAACAGTCTGTGACGAGATAAACATTGACAAAAGGAGAATCGCTCCCATCTTTCTGAAAAATTCCATGCAAAAGTCACGAAAAGGCAGAAGAAACTTGAAAATTATCCGTTAAGAGATTACCGCATGTATGTAGTTCGAAGTGAAAGAACATCGTACATGGTCGCACATCGAGATTATAAATACACAGTCAACGCAAGACAAGAATATATTCGTTAATCGCGATGTCTTACAACATTTCTTTGTCGCGTCTTTACATCTTATGTATACATCTCAGTAATTGTACGCGACAAGAAACGCGCGATTTACTAAGTACGCGTCGCGAAAATCACGCGGACGTACAATCGCGCGTTTCTGCATGACAGTCATGATTTATCGTCTCTTAATATGCGTATACACGCGAGTACGTTTTAATTTGCCACGTTGAATGCAACCAGCCCCGACCATTATCGCGGCGGTTTGCTACTGTGCGGTTGTTAACTCTAATGTGCGTGCTCACAAAGGCACTCGTGTTTGTTATCTGATTTAATTACGATGTAAAGGGAAACAGGGTGTACGTGCCACGGGCAGAAAGCTTTTGTACTCGTTACAAAGAGCACTGCGTTTTGTTGTTTCTTTTTTCTAATTAATTAATTAATTAATAAGAACGAACATAAGGGTGGAATTTTTGAACGCGTTGTTGATTCGTTAAGAAGGTATACGCACGTATATGAAGGAACTCTGTTTGTCTCGCTGAAATTTGGTGACATAATCGATAAATCACATTTTTATAATATACAGAACATAAAAAAACAGAATTAACGTAATACAAATCACACAACGAAAAGTTAATGTTAAATAAATAAAGTAGAAAATTTGCTCAACATCAATCTGTTATGTTTTATCTGTTATCTTTTTATTTTCTTTTATCTATTTGAACATGATATTTATTTTTATCTTTATGAATTATGTATTTACTTTTTTATATTTCAGTGGGAAAAGTTTTTCATTGAACAATAACTAAGAGAAATTAAAAATTTTTAGAGTTAAATTGGCTTCAACTTAAAACAATATCAATATAAAAAACTCTTTCACCGTCTTTCTCTATATAAATTATACCTTATTATTTTAAGACAGATGACAAGCTTTAGTATATTAGGGCAATCGTAATTTTAATTCCTTAGATTGACATTCGTTGTTCATTCAAATCTGTCAAATCTAATGCGTGACAAATTTCTTTCGGCGAACAATATGGAAAATACTATACAATAAAAGAAGGCGTATAAAACAAGAATCGTCTCTTTCAGATCGAGTCTGCGCGATTAATCGACTGTTCTCTCCTTATTTCCTGTCTCTCTTCGTGAAAAACGGAATGCACACATGTGAATAACAGTACATTATGATGTACGTTTATATATTGGTACACATTTGTATTCCAGAAAATGTTACACTTCGCTTTCTAGGAATCAACACGTAAGAAGCATCTCTCTCGTGGAAAATTTTCTTCTCGTTGCACAATCGAATCGAGACGAGACTGCGTCATTGGTGATTCGCCGTGAGATCGCGAAGAGGAGCAGCAATTCTCGAGACAAGAGCGGAGACACGAAAGACGCACGCGAAAGAGAGGAAACGTCATATCCGCTACGTGTATATCGGGTGGCGAGATGGTTAAAAGGTCGCACGCTGTCGCGTACTTTTCTCGCTCCTGTTGTGGAGGCCAGGGTGGATATCTAATGACCGTCTATGGCGGAAAAAGAACGCTGGAAAATATCGTCGGTAATATTATAATATAAACGTGCTCCTGAGAGAAAGAGAGAGAGAAAGAGAAAAAGAGAGAACAAACGAACAAAAATATGATGATATACGGATACATACGTGGGCAGAGGAAAGTACCGACGGCGTCTGCGTAATTGTACTCTCCGTCCTGGCGGAAGTAAAATGTCAAAATGAAATAAAAAGAAACGAAATCGGAATCGCTTCCTCCTCGTTAAATCAGGCATATCTAGACAACACGAAACAACAGGCAATCAGAACGGAACGCGAATAAGGGAGGGACGAAATAATCGGTCGGACTGGGGTGCTCGCTAGAAGTTTATCTCGAGGAAAGGAATAAGGAGAGGAGTAAATTGTCGGGAGTAAATAAAACTGGGAACACACACTGAACACGGGCACATTGCCAAGAATTTTGGACAGATAGGGTTAATTAACACCTAACACTCACAAGCAGACCTACGGTTAGACCAACCAACTTTCTCGTCTGTTGAGTGGTTCGTGTCGAATACCTCGCAGAAATTCTCCATCGCGCTTAATCTTACACGTGTTGTATAAGAATCGTTTGAAAGACATTTCCTGTTTCATAATCACGCGCTAATTGGATGGCGATAAGATTCACGACAAACGAACTCTCGGCTCTTCATCGTCACCGTGACCTCATGCGCTACCATTGTCAATAAATGGTGCATCCGTTAAAAATGTATATACTATCGGTATACATTTACATGCACACGTATCTAGATTATGCAAACCGTCACTGTAAGAACGTCGATAATCGCTATTAACTCATACGATAATGTACATGCGCATCTATGTCGTATCAGGCCAATAAAGTTATGCGGCTTATGGGGCCGGCGATAATCGAGAGCCGAGAAATTCGAGGTGAACGTTTCAACGGCGATCGGCACGAACGTCGGCCGTTCCTGCGATCGCGCGATCGAATATTCGACACGACCAGTTCACAATGACTATTCGTGTAACCAAACTCATGTTAGTACCTAGCAGAACGGAACTTTCCAACAAAACCCGACAAAAACAAGGTAGCATCTCATACCAAAAAACTGTTCTCAAGAAGTTTGGCGAGGAATCAGCTAGTCGGTGAAACATGGATTTTAACAATATAGTTATAAAAAAACATCGTCACTAAGATATAATACTGCAAGCATTATCATTCTCCATCGATCAATACATACTGAATTCTTCTCAGCTAATATCGCATCTTCTAATCTGTGATCCATGTCACACGTCGCATCGCCAGGACTACGGGACTAAGGGCAAGACTGATCAAGAGCTTGTTGAAGTGTTCTACGCAGTGAAAGCTATTTGACTTCCGTGAAAATTACAGCTACGTTTACAGTTCTGTATGAAATATAAAATTAGACTATAACTTCATTAATTTCAATCAGATTAATTTCAACCAGAATGACATTTCAATATTTCCGTTACCTTACGAGATCAATTAATTAAAGTATAAAACTCTTTCCGCTTTGCCTGTTCGAGTTTGTAGTGTTCAGACTTTACCGAAGTCGCGCGACAAGGAAGGAGTTTAATTACTCTGTAAGTCTGTAATAAGCTTTTAACATTTGATCAAATGGTAAGCATAGTCTTTCCTCTGCTCAATCAACTTTTTACAGAACATGGAACTCCCCGACAATGTTAAAGCTCTTGATCGGCTCTGCTACAATTCACAAACTGGGTCTAAGTATGTCGGGTGTGTTATATGTGTAAAAAGAAAAATAACTTCTCGTACCGGAGACTGTAAATTACACGACAAGACTATGCACGTTCTCTATGAAACTCAAAATGAAAAACGAGAGATAGGTGACCACAAACGAAAACGGCAACGGTAATCAGAATAATCGTAATCAATGAGTAACAACGAAAGAAACGACAGTAGTGAGTAATAATGATCTAGCGTATATAGATATAGTTATACGTAGAAACACATTGAGTTTTGTGTTAACGAACGCTTGAATCAAGTAAGGGCAATTGGCCTTGGTTTCAGGGTAACTAGGCAGGCACACCTTGCTGGTTCGGTCTGGTTGGGGCGGTGTCGCCCGACGCTCGTAGTGCCTCTCCGGCTGTTGATAAAGGGGGATCTGCAAACCCATTCGGAAACGTGTTCTCGCAGTAAGCCTAGTAGTCGATTTGTATATATTGTTTTCTTTGTACTCGTGTGTGTATGTCTGAGAATTAAAAGATTCCTGTGCGTATTAAGGTGTATGCATATAGATGTACAGGCAAGATTGTATTGTCCATACAGTGACGGTATGAAAAATTGTGTAATGCCTACCCTCTAAATTTCTTAGAGTGAAATCTCACTCCAAAAGAGTTAAAATACTACCATTATTGAAAAAGAGTGAAAATATTTGCACTTTTAAACAAGAGTGGCAGATTTTCACTCTTTTTTTTTAGAGTGATATTTACAAAAAACAAAAAGGAATGAGATTTCTTTCTTTTGGAGTGAATCTAAAAGAGTGAAATCTCACTCCAAAAAGAGGGAAAATCTGCTATTCTTATTCAAGAATGTAAATATTTTCACTTTTTTTAAATAGTGGCAGTATTTTCACTTTTTTGAAGTGAGATTTCACTCCAAGAAATTTAAAGAGTATTCTACAATTGCGTAAGCGTGATTAGGTTAAATGGTTGTAAGAATTGACCAATCACAGTCGAATATTCGCCTCAAATTTGATTGGACAATTCTTACATCTACCATTTACAACTACGCTTACGCAGTTGTAGAATGAGTTTAATATTTAGGAAAGATATGGAGATCGTTATATTGTGTTTCATTTGATTACTTAAAAAAATAAGTGAATGTAAGAGAACGACAATATTTTTGGATTAGACGATTTAGGATCCTCGCGAGATATAATGTTGTATGTAGGCGTTATTAATCACGCATGCTTGTGATATCTTCGTTTTCAAGATGTGTTGTATATGTATATCTATACTCGGTATAAGGATTTTCCGCTGCTATAGATTAATGGATAAATTGTCGGCTCTGTGCTCGCATTGAAACGGTGGAGAGATAAACATATAGTTGTATATGTGTATGTGTATTGTGAAAGACAACCGTCCGATTTGTTATATATCAATGTCGATTATGTCTGATAATAAATATGAGAACTTGAAATAAAAAATTGTAAGTGCTGTTTTTTTACAGTGTATTTGTACTTTTTGAAATGAAATATTTTGTGAAAAACAATTTTTATTTATTTTACACTTACAGTCTTTTTATACCAAGTCTGCATTTTTCTATACAGCAAAGTATATAAAATGACGAATTAGCCAATAATTAGCCATTAGTTTAAATTAAAACAATTTCATTACAAATGTAGCAGCTCGTATATTTTATAGTCTGCCCATTGAGAGATGATAATTAACTTTGATTGAATTATCATGCGAAATGATTTATAAATTAACTACCAGTGCGCATTTTCTTAACGCGAGATATAATACCACGTATACATTGATAGTTTATTTCTCGCGCTTCGAAAATAAAACAACGACATCAATAACAACGAAGAAGAGAAGATGAATGGAAAATATTTGGCTAAGTTTCATCTTAAATGGATCTACATTTTCAATTATCCTTCTATTAGCGTCTATGAATAGTGGCGCCACAAATTATTATTCTCGTTGTCGTTGGCATACTTTCAAAGTCCATTAATATTTTCACCGAAGGCGGTACAAGAACTGATTTAATTTTGATTAATTAATTGAGAAAACATTTTATCCCCAATTTAATGAAAATGATTTATCGTGACTTCGACGAAGAAAGAGAATACGGGGTAGCGATTCTCGACATCATCGTATTCGGTAGCATTGTGGTCGGTACGTTTGCCTCGCGCATTTCTTCGCTGCTAATTGACAAACTACAGTTAATTTGTCCAAACGATATCGATACCCGAATGCGTGACGAGTCTATTGCACTTGGAACGCTTTCCCTCGTGCATACATTTTTTTTCTCGCGCATATATTTTTTTTCTCAGCGTATATCTTTGTACAATAGAACAGAACAGAGAGGAAAAAGCAGAGGGAGGCAATAGTAACGTTTCAAGGCAAGCGTAATAAGATTTTCAGCGAATGACAAACTGCTAACTCGATTGGACGAAAAGCCTGATTGATTCGTTGGTCTTTTCGCTGTGCCACGATTTTATGCTAACAGCGCGAGCACAAATAATGTAACACAAAAACGTTATCCCACGTAAACACAATCGCCGACGTGCGGAAGCACCGAAAGGTAGCAATAATTTCTCAATCCAATTAACCCACTCAAACAATTAATGCACTTGCAGTTCGCCGTATAATTGACCTGGCGAGATATATACACAACATGTATATATCACGAATATTATTTGATTTATTTTCTTATTACTGTAATAATATACATGTTTTACAAGCTTCCTATTTTGTAGCTGCAACAACCACTTCGCAGTACTTTGTTTAAATTTTTAAACATTTAGTGAAGAAATAGCGAGATATATTTGTAGTAAAATAAAATAGAGACGCGAATTTATGAAAGACATTTATAAAAATCAGATTGTTCTTTTTACCTTTTGTTATTAATTCTGTTCTTTCTTTTATCTTTCGAAATGATTCTCCGATCGAATGAAAGGGATGGGCAATACGTTCACGCATTGCTTCGATTATCGAATATATACACTTGTTTGGGAGGGCAGTTACTTACCCGTCGACGAATCGTCGTACCATTACATCACGTGCACAAAATCGACATGTGCGTTAAAACAAGAGCAAAAAGTAACGAGTAAATACGAATAGCGAACAACAACAATTATCGGTGCATCGAAACGACAATGAAAAATATAATAAAATGTTGTCGTATTGTGTCACGAGATTCTCTTTGTATCGAGTTTCACGGTGTATTAGCGATGATTCTGCGGAACACGCAATCGCGTGCACGTGTATATCCTTTTTCCTCTATTTGCTTTTTCGTCACGCTATCTCTCCGCTTGTGTCCGCGAATTGTTTGTTAGAGGTATTACCTATTGTTATGACTATTATCTGTTTTATGCTCCTCTCGGTGCGGTGAAATGATCGAGCAAGGGAGAACAGCTGATTCTAATTAACGATTATTATTACCGTGAGAGAGAAAGATAGACGGAAGGAGACTTTCTTGTAGAATGGAAATTTCGGGGTATCACGGGATATATTGAGTAGAGCCGTGGGGACACTTATTAGATGTTCAGCAACGGAAAGCGAAACATAATCTAATCAACTGAGAGTCCAGTTCGAAAAAATTCCCCGCAGTGGTGGACCGAGACATTTACGACAACTATGAAAAAGTAATTTTGTTAAGAATCCTATTTTCGCTGCATATACCTAAAAAAGATTTGTACATACATACTCGATCGATTGAACTTTATTGACGAAAATCTTATGACAAAGGGAGACTCTTTGCACATAGTGAGAATGAAACTCTCTGTTAATGAGTGCAAATTTAAGAAAACTTCGTAAAAAAGATTGCCTGTCAGACAGAATCCACCACTGACGTGAGAACTTCGCTAGTAAGACTCAATGAGTCATCTGCGGTTAAGTACGAAATATCCACGGTAAGGATACGAAAGTGGGCTGACTTGTTGCCTTTATCTCCTCCGATTCTCTACAGCGACCATATATCACAGGCATAGACATAATTATTTAATATCCCGCGTAAAATGCGGAAGGTGATTTCTGCAATTGACAGATTCAAAAAACTGACAATCGACATTAATTAACTCATTAAGCTTCATTGTCTACAGGAAAAGCAGTTTCGTAGGAGGGAAAATCGTTTGTCAGCTTCCTGAATCCGTTAAAGGTCACCAAACGCTTCTCCTTTTCTCTTTTTTTTTTATATACGTAAATTATGTACGAACTACACGTATCGTATGTTTACAAAATAAAAACAGTGCTGTATAGTAAGTAGCAGAACACTCACATAGACCTCTTCCCATTGCGAGACATACCGCACCAGTCTTGACAAACGTAGTAACCTAACGAGTGATAACAGTTTTGCAAGCCTGAGGATCCTGAGAGCACGTCCAGCATGCAGGATCTGGAAGGACTCGCTGAAGTCCTGAAACTTGCGAATTTCTTTGTTACTGTAATATTTGACTCTTCGAGTGTCAGTAAACAAGTATACAAATATCTAGAATTATTTAGAAAATCGTTCAGAAAATTATTTAGAAAATCGTTTTATAATTCATTAATTCTATACTTATACAATATAATAATATATATTATAAGATTTCTATTTTATATCTAATTTATATTAGTATTATTTTATTTTCAGATCTTTAAAATTTTATTATTTTATTTATTTTTAATTTTCTATTTAGCATATTATTCTAGAGAAATTACATAAAGAATTAAAAGTCTTTCTTTACATTATATACATATGTATCGTGAAAAATGTTATACGTATATAAAAATGTATTATTTATTATTTGGTAAAAGAAATTAGAAAGTTATTTTGATGATTTTTCATAAAGCAGGACTGGGCATGTATTTGAAATATTTTTATTTAAAACAGTTTTTGCAATATAGGTATACTTTGTATTTTGTATTTCAGCGGAGCACATGAAAGTATTACGTATTTTATATTTAAAATCGAAAAACTATAAGTTTTTTAAACTTTGTAATTCAAATAATAACATTAATTGTCAATCTTAGTATTTGAAATACAAAATACAAAATACTTTCAATCTTTCGTTATTAATATTGAAATACAGAATACTTTTATATGCTCCCATGAAACACAAAATACAAAATATTTGCATGTGCTCCATTGAAATGCATAGTATAAAATACAATTGTCTTACAAATATTGTTTTTTAAATAAAAATATTTCAAATACATTGCCCAGCCCTGTCATAAAGTATAGCGAGCTAATAACTTACGATTTAACAAGGAATATGTATAAAGGTTGCGTAAAACATATTTACTTGATTAAATATGAGGAAAATGTAGTCTAATGGTATGGAGGAGATGAGGTCGAGAAAGAACCAAGTCCTGAGGTAGTGTTTCGCGATTAACTTCGGATCCAGTATCACCTGTTCGGCATTATCCTGCTGCATTATACCTGCAACGAAAGAATTTTACTCCGGTATTTTCCACGTCAATGATTTTCCAAAGCCTGCGAAGCTCAAGTTGCCGGAAAAACGCTAATGCTATTACCTCACGCTCTGGCGACTTGCCATCGATTCGATAGTTTGTCACGTTGCCATTCTCGCGCATCTGATGCACATTATGTATATATAATATATAATTTAACAATTGGAAAAAACAATCATTGAATCTGTTATAGCGGTAAATAAAAGAAAAAGAAGTAATTATTAAGAATTACTGTTCCGTGCTAAAATATTTGAACGGGATACGGGAATAATGCGTCTTAGAAATTTTTAATTATCGTGAATCGACACAAAGCGATGTGCAATATAATATAATGATTTTCATCGGTTGCAGTTCGTGACCTAATTCCGCGTTTACGAAACCGATTCAAACACGTTTCAAATTAATCCCTTGGTAATAACGAAATGTCAAGGAGTTAGGAGTATTCTCTTCCCGTAACAATACTGTCATTGTGCATTGTCGAGACTAGCAAGAGCGCAAATAGATAATCCATCTTGCACTACGTCTGTTTTCGCCTGTATCTTATACTTGGGAATGTAACAGGGATGAGTCGCGTGAAAGAAAAAAATTCCAAAGAGACTTCTTAAAATCTTGAATATAAAAAAAAAATTGGAAAAATATTATATATATTATATATTCTTAAAGAAAATTTCACTAGTCTTGTTAAATGGTCTTTCTAAATGCACAGTTGTACAAGTCAAGATATTGAAAAATAATCTTAGAAGAATTTGATGAGAATATGATTGTGTGTAATGTATTTTTTTAAGTATTTTTTACTTGAGCTTTAACTTTTAAATATTTCTTTATATTGAGTCTTGAGAAGTCTTGTCACGTATATGTATCAAAGAAGAGTTTTTATAAAATATTCTAATGTGTATAAAACCGGAATCAGACTACGCATTAACGATTGAGATTGAAGATTAAAAGATTGAAATTTGACCAATCAAAACAATAGGAGCTAAAATTTCTTTGTCTTTATTGGTCAAATTTCAATCTTCAATCTTTAATCTGAATCTTCAATGCGTAGTCTGATTTCGGCCTAAATCCTTCGATTGTCGACACCATGATTTACGCTGATTATTGTGAGGAAATGATGCGAAATACAATGTCAAGTGGAATGTTGCGAAGATACTACGGTGTAAGTAACACCTAATGGTATTATATGAAAGTTTCAAAAGACGTTACTAATATTGTTAGCTGTTACTGCGACAACGCAGATGTTCTTGCACAAATCCTGTTGATATGAGAGATTAGAACTGAAATTTCTCAGCAGTACACGTTGCGAATTTAAAGTCTTTTATCACGGATTCCAATTAAGTGACGAGAATTTATTATAATAGGGAATTAATAAAAAGCAAATTGATCGATCGAATGACACTCACCCGTCCTGAAGTTGACGACGATGTCTATAAGGAATATCGTGTCGGAAAGGCAGTTGAAGGCTATCCATCTAGTGCTTAGGTCGTCATTGAAAAAACTAATGGCGACTGGCAGAATTATCAGATTAGCTACCAGTAGGAGGAGCATGCAGAGGTCCCAATAGAATCTGAAATAAGAAAAATTGTGACACATTAAAATAAATCTATAAAATTACAATTAATATCATGTAGCGGACTGTTTAAAAAGTGAAATTTGAGTTTTAGATTTTAACGCAATTTAAGATTTCTTCTTACTTAACTTTATTCACACATGGTAATCGTTTTATATTCTCAATTTCAAGTATCTTGAGTCGATGGGGATTGTAGGGATTTAATTGTACAATCTCGGTTAAAATAACTTTTAAAATTTGATCCAACTCTCAGCTCAACTGTAAATGTTTAAAGCCAGATATCATAAACTCTTTTTTTAAATTTATATATATATGCATTTTATACATCTTTATATGTATACATAATATATATAATATATATATATTATATATCTTTATGTAGAATATATATTTTTTTATATTAATCCATTCCTTGTGAAGCGTGCAATTTTATGCAGTCAAATTATTTAACTAATAAATAATATTCGTCTGTGTGTATTATTTAATTTAGAATAAATAATTCATTATTACATTAATATTACAAGACTTCGATCTAGAAGTTGAGGTTAACTTCTAAAGAAATGAGATAGATAACACGTTTCGAATGTTGATTGTAAATAGTTGTACGAATTTACATTTTATTACACCTACCGGTACACGAGTTTATTTCACATTTTTGATTCGCCTAACCGGTTACGGAATCATTAGTCTGCAAAGTGGCTCTCGTGAATAAGAATGAGGGTAATTTTTCACCATTTCGCGAAAGAGGTAGTGAGAGATTTATAGCGATGAAAGAAACGGCGATTTCTCTCGGGAAGTTTAGATAGAAGTGCAGAATAAACTTTTTTGCTTTGTGCTTTTAAAGAGAAGCAATCGATTGTAGAAATTGTTGATGGTTCAAAAATTATTGCAACATTTGATTATTTGATATTTAACAAAAATCTGTCCTGATTGATACAGTACAAATGCGATAAATAATAATAATAATAATAATAATTTTATTAAATGTTGATAAACAACATGCAAAAAGTAGTGACTATATATTACAAACACTCAAGCATGCAGAAGATGAGGCTGCAGCTGAATCACTGATATAATGACTTATCTGATTAGTAATATATAATTACATAAATATATAATTGACATAATGATACAGATACATATAATATTATTGAGTTACAATGCAAAACTTGTTCTAGGCAATCATAAGATGAGGAAATTATATTTAATTATCGAAATAAGATCTCATCTATGTAAGAATTTAAGAGAAATAAAAATTTAAAAAACGATAGCAATTTAGGGCCAAAATTTGCCTATGAAAACGTATGAAATCGGTCAATCTTTATAGATTTGGACATGCTGAACTCGAATATGAAGTTTAAAATTCTCCAAAGTTTCGACGATATTTGTTTCGAAAGAGAAAAACCGATTTTTTTTCGAAGAGGTTTTTTCACCCCTTAAAAGTGAAAATGGGTACGTATAAATAAATGTGTCGCTTATTTTTGTCTGGAGAATGACATACTAAAAGCTCATTAAGATCGGAGGGGGACAGTTGGGTCCCTTTCCTTGTAAGATATACCCAATTCAGTAACCACCACGCGGTGTATCTTGAGTAAAGCTGGTGAAAAAGCAGAAACGCACGCATGCCTACGTACGTAGGTACATTCATCTTTGTTCTGTTCATGTTATTGTACGTCCTGTAACATTGACTTTTATATTGCAAAAAGTTACAGTTTTTCAGATCATTATAATAGAAAAAGAGGTTTCTTGTTCAGTTAGGGGAAGCCCGGGCAGTGTGGATATGTTAAGGTTTGTGAAGAAAAATGACATAGTTAAAATTAAGATCAGAAACTTTTTTTATTCTTCAAACTTCATTATAGAATAAACTTTAAAATAAAATTAAATAAAATGAAAAACTTGAACATTTATATGTATTTTAAATAAAAATGTAAGAAAAGAAAAATCATCCGCTTTAACCAACTCCCCTGGGCAAAGCGAATATTACTCGAGCAATGAGAATATAATAAAAAAATATCAAAATATTAATATTGGTAATCGTCACAAAACTAGCTGCCAAATCCTTTATATGTTGTGCCTTCATGAGCCCATTTGGTGCACTGGATCCAGTCTTCGGATGGTGGATCGATATATTCTTGAGAACACATCAAACAGCAGTAACGTACGTTCTCTTTATCATTAACAGACTTTTCTTTTTTAACTTGGTTTCTGTTTACACCACTACAGCTAGGGCCAGCTATTTCAGCTATTTTCGTTTTTTTGACATTAACTTTTTGGAATTTAAGAATTTGCTCATTTTTTATGGGAGTGGACGTCAACACTTGTGCTTTTTGTCTTTTGTTTTTACGAGCTGTTTTTGGTGCAGCCATGATGGGTATTGATTTTACTTGAAACGGGGATAAGCTCTCAATTGCCTGGTTTGCTTTTTGACTCATCGCAGAATTTTCTGTCTTTTCAATGTTGCATTGTAGTGTAGTATTGTCGCGAGACTGTGTGATAACGTCGCGAGCGCCAATGTAATATTGTCGTGAGGCAGTGCAATATTTTCTGGAACATTTTCTTCTAATGGACGATCTGTCATTGATGATGGAACATAATCTTCATCGCCAAAAACATGTGGATTATAGGACCAAATTCCTGGTTTTTTAAATCCTTGAACCGCATTTTGTATAAAAGCACCTTTGCTGTAAGCTTTTCTGAAAAGTTTTCCGATGTTATACTGGCATATCCTTCCTGGGTAATTTTTTTGAAAAGTGTTTACCTCTTGTTCAAAATACTTTTTTATGGGTCCATAAACAGCAACATCTAGCGGCTATATTTTATTAGTTGTATGTGGAGCAAATGAGACGAAAATAACGTGATTTTTCGATGCAAATTCCAAGGCTGGATAATATTTGTGAGATTCGTGATTGTCAAGCAGTATAAATAATATTTTCCGATTTTCATTTGGACGAACCACTTCAACAAAATGTTTGAGCCATGAAGAGAAAATTTCTCCATTTATCCATCCATTATTGCTCGTAGCAGCTTTAGAACCTGGAGGGGCATCATCTAAAAGCCGTTCTTGCATCCGCTTTCGCGCAAAAATGAAAAATGGCGGAACATATGTACCAGCAGCATTGCAACAGCATATGACAGTTGTCAATTGACCTTTTTCAGCACTGCTAATAACGCCAATTTGTTTCTTTCCTTTCGTACTTAAAATTTTTGGTGGCTTGGAAGTCGAGGTCCTCACGCCAGTCTTATCCATGTTGAAAATCGTTGTCGCATCAAAATTAAACTTTTCGATCTGCTCCCACAAAAGTGAATAAAATAGTTCCACCTGTGGTCTATTAAAGTCTCTTGCTTTTGCGATAGAAGTGGGCTCAGGTGATCGCAGCACAATATCAGGGTGTTTCAGTTTAAAGCGAGCAAACCAATCATCACCTGTCTTACCGTTCTTGAATGGGTTCTGAATATTATTAGCTTTTGCAAAGTTATAAACAAAGTTCTAAGAAATCAGTGCGAGTCAGGCCGAAAAATAGAGTATCCATCTCTTTCAAGTAACAGCATAACTCATTTTCATGCTCTTTAGTAAAAACTGCAGTAAATCTTCCTAACTTTTTTTTATAGCTTCCTGATTTTATATGCCGTTGTAAAATTGAAAACGGAATTTGGTAATTTTTGGCTGCCGATAAAATAGTCTTTTTCTTGGCAATGACTGCATCCATGGCACGTTTTAGATTGCTCTCCGTCCATTTTGCTTGATCTGTTTTACGTTTGTACTGATAAACCATCCTAAAACGAAAAAAAAAAACTATAAATTAAGAAAAGTTTAAGAAAAACTAAAATATCATATTTTCGATATCATAAAATCGAAAAAATTAAAATCAATATCATATTTAAAATATTAAAATTGTTCGTAAAAGGAATTTTATAATTATTGTGACTTTATTGTCTGCAGTTATTATTTAAAAGGTGTAATTTAAAAAAGTTACTATGCAATGATACATAAACAAATCATCATAGGCTGTGTTCCAAAATTGATTGTCACTACTGAAAATCTATAGTGCACGTAACTATAGCATTTTCAGTAAATTTAGCTGACAGTAAATTTGGAATCCAACCTGTGGAAAAAAAAGAGATATAAACAAACCTGTCTCGTTCACTTGAAAGATCTTTCGTCTTTCCGATATTTTTAGCAATCGCATAAATACTAGGTGAGGATGTGCTATTCGCTTTGCCCCCACTTTGCCCAAAGAACCTATTTGGCGCAAATTAGGAAAAATTAGAATAAGTTTCAGCAACAAGTGAAAAATTTTAACCTCTAATGCACGTTTAAAGACAGAGAATTCTTATAAAAATTCATTCACACTTGTTAAAAAACAATTAATGCTAATAATTACGCTATGTACCTAAGCGAAAATCGTAAGAAAACACACAATTTCGTATATTTGTATATAAAACGTAAACGATCGCAATCATATGGCGTTTTATATTTTCAGCGTCGCCGGCCGGTCATTCCTGCAACAGCTGGAGATTCATAGCGCCATCATAGATAAGCGAAAATAAAAAGTATTCGGTTTGCCTAAGGCATCCATTTTGCCCGGGCTTCCCCTACTACTTGTTCATCGGGAAAATATTTTGCTGCAAAATAAAGCTTAAAATTCTCCAAAGTTCCCCGGATTTTGGAGAATTTTAAACTTCATATCCGAGTTCAGCACGTCCAAACCTATAAAGATTAACCGATTTTATACGTTTTAATCACAGGCAAATTTTGGTCCTAAACTGCCACCGTCCTTTTATTATGATGAAAAGTAATCTCATCATGTTTCGCGTACGATTCAGTTTTAATCTCTATTTGAAATGCAAATCAGATTGAATCATTTACGAATACTAATGTATAATTAATCACGCTTTCAAATAAAGATTGAAACTGAATCGTACGCGAAACATGATGAGATTACTTTTCATCATAATACTATATATTTTTGGTAAGTTCCAAAGATATACGATGAAAG